TGGAGGCTAGGGAGTGGAAGCACAAAATCAGAAAAGACTTTAAGGAAATGTAAGTGCAAAAGCTGCTATTATCTCTCCTTCTTCCCACCAGTTAAGTCCCCCAAACTGCGAACAATATATCTGTGTTGCAATTAAATACGGGGCTACAGCAAGACAGGAGTTGGGGTTAGAGATACAGAAATCGAAACAGCACCATATTGGGTAGAAGGAGAATTGAAAGGCTTTGATATAGATATTCTGGGAGGAAAAAAAAATATATATAGTCCCATGAGGGACTGAGTCATCTACTTTGTGGAAATGGCAACTCCTATGGTCACAGATTTTGTTACCAGGTCACAGCTAGGCTTTTATGATTTTAGTAGCAATTGTAGAGTGTGTGTATGGAAAGGAGAGAGGAGCAGTTGTCTGTGGACCTTTAACTGTAACTAGTGATGCAGTTAAAGGTACGTGCAGTTAAATGCAACCCCATCCCTGCTTCTGATTTGGAGGAGTAGATGTAGCACGTACCCATTTCTCATGGAAACTCACTGGGCTAGGTGCCCCTCCAGTCTGACCCCTGGGGCCTTTACAGCTGCAGTGTCAGGTGCAGTGTGAGCTGCCCCAAGGGTCAGTTTTGGAGGGCACCTAGCCCCATGCTATCCCTGCAGAAGACCACAGAGCTTGCCAACGTGGTCACTGCCTGTAGAGTTGTTGTCTTGCAACCTCCCAGCATCCATGGTCATTACATTGGGGATACTAAAGGGTATATTTGTGTTTATTTCTGTTAATATCGGGTATGGACCAGTTGTGCATGGATTACTGTTGTCTCTCTGCCACCATCATGTATTGCAGGAGTAAGTACCTGGAATGTGTGTGTGGTTTTCAAAGTGTGACTGGGAGGGGGGAAACCCTCATCTGTCCCAAATCAATCTTCTGGTGAGTGCCTCCTAGTTCTAGTGGGGAGTGACTTGTTGAACACCAGTTTTGCTGTTACCTTGTTCGTAACCCTTATGGTAAGGCAGCTGCTCCATTCCTTTAACCAATTTAGTGGCCCATCTGTATACGTTCTCCTGGGGTGTGGAGAACTGCAGGCACCATCAGGATGCGAGTGTACCAAGGCTTTATACGATAGCAGAGCGGGTAAATATGCATGCTGTACTGTTTCCCCACTGCTCTACCCTCAACACCAAGCCAAGCTTCAGAAGCCAATTTATTTCGTAATTCCATTTGTTAGCTACAAGTGCTCTCCAAGGTCATAGGTTTTAACATTAAATAAAGCAATTGATTTATAATCTCACAGATTGAGAATAAAGATAAGCAGCAGAGCAACCAGAACCCTTGAGAATGTGTTTACTTTCTAGCAGCTCTTAGTGGTATTTCCGTAGGACACTGGTAATTAACTTCTTAAGAAAAAGAAAACAGTGACTTGGGAACTGGAGATGTCTCTTCTATTTTCCCTAGAACAAAACAATCAGTTCCTTTCAATTTGTTATTTATAAGTAATTCTGTTGCACATTTTATAAATCTTTTTCAAATATCCAGGAGTTTTTGTGTCCTCAAAAGATTTCTTATAAGAATGCAGCTAGTCTTTTCTGTTCAGAAATGTGGAGTTTAAAAGTAGGTTAACAAAAAAAGGCAATTGCTAATTGTTTCCGAGATGCACATCTTTGAGGAGCAAGGACCACTGCTAGTCCAAAAGGGAACATCACTGGATATTCAAATGATTTAAAATATGGCTCACCTCCAGTGCTTCCTTAAAAAAATGAAAATATGGTCTTCCATCTCTAGAGGAGGTTGCTTCATGCTAGGACTGAGGTAGGTTTGTAGCACACAGACAGTTGGTGTTCCATCTGCCCTCTGAGATGGTGAAAGCCTGCACTGTCAGTCCCATGTTAAGTCTACTTAAAATAGTGCTACCAAAACACACTGCTCTTATTTTAGCAGGATGTAAATAGCCATTGCACGCATGTTTTATGTGTTGCTGGTGGCTCTGTGCCTCTCATCACAAGTGGATGCTGTTGTCTAGCTGGTTTATCTCTTGACTCGATGGCCTTTTTGACAAAAAGGATAAAGTATTTCCTATTACTCTATTGCATGTTATCATTGTGCTAATAACTAATTCACTTTGCCTGTAGAAATGTATCACCTCCAAACCAGAATATTAGTGTTCTTCAGAGCCGGCCCTGTTGTGTCTTTTGACAAAATAAAACTAAGTTCTCTTGCAAATTTTCATATAGATAAGTTTGTGCATAAGCAAGTGCTTACAGTGAAACAAAGACTTCAAGCAGTGACAGGAATACCATCGAGCTAGTTAAATGCAAATAAGCCTCGCTTAATACTAAATGTTTTTAGAAGGCTTGTAGGAAAAAGCATGAAAATAACTGTTGCTATGAAAGTGAGCTGTTTGTCCTAATCCTGATTAGTCCAGGGGGAAGCAGGGTTTTGCAAATATTAGGAATAGTTTTATATGATAAATAGTTCACTTGATTAGCTGCTTAGATTGTTCATATTTTTCTTTGTCAATCCCGTACTAAAAGCCTGCTGGCAGGAAGTGAAAACTCTTGTACCAGGATTGTGCATAGGTGACGGAGGCCAAGGCGCGAGTGTGCGGTAGGCTTGCTGTGTTGGGTTTGCCCGCCTCTCTCGCAGCCAACGAACATCTGTACAGGTGGTGGTTTATTTCTGCAGCCTTTTTCTCCCTGCAGTGTCTTTGATGCTGTTTGAAGGTCACAGGTCTGACAATCAATTTCTCTGGTTGATGCTTTTTATTAATTTTTTTAATGATGTGTTAACTCATACAGACATACTGAAATACTCATTTGTTATGTCTACAGCATGTCTCTATTTAGAAAAAAAAAAAATTAATGCTAGAGAAGCAAATCCACCCCAGGTGAGAGAGGTTCTATTCTGTTCTAATAACTTGGCTTTTTACCAGACATTGTAATACATTATTTTTTTTTCCTTCAGCAGCAGAAGGCTAAGGGTATAAATTGAATCCAAGTAGATGAATCGCTGCCATCAGTTTAGTTGTGCTTTACCTGAATCCACAGGGCAGTGAGCAGGAGCTGAGACAGCGGTTCAATTAAGATTGTGGTACAAGTAAATCCATTGTATTGTTACAGAGGCTTTTGATTATAAAAATTCATCCATAGAATAGGGTAAGCTGACGAGACAGGCCTGAATGGTGCTTTCGTCCTGTTTGTATAAAAAGATCAGACTAGGATAGATCTGGGGTCAGGGGAGAGCAGTCTGGCTTAGATGACTCCTTTCCCTCTCCCATTTTATTTAAATAGATGCATACTGGCTTGCTTTATTCTCCAGTCATAAGCATGTTCCTTTTCTTTGTCTTTTGGAGGCTCGTGATTTTGAGGGTTTAACCTGACTAGCTCGTTTCTCCTGTACCGAGCAAGCAGTCATGAGTGGGATGGTCTGCCACTGCTTCAGAGAAGTTTAGGTGCCTGAGTTAAAAGGCCACGTTGCAAGCTGTTTCATGGAATTATTTTATACTGTCAGACTGCATGTCAACAATCCTGTCTCTCCATAATTTAAAAATAACTTGATGCTATCTCCTTTACAAGGACTTGAAAACTCTGCTGGCATTTAAATTTATCTTCCCTCAAAAGCATTGTGGTGCCTTCAACTTCTCACTATGTCGAGGGGTGGAAAAAGCTAGCTGTTATAGCTATGGGGGCAGCCAAAAGAGCTCCCTCTTCTTGTAATTGGTTTAATGCTTTCTAATGGTAGAAAGGTACCTTAAATACCTCTGTTCTCAGGATTTTTCAAGCTATATGAATGTGAAACCCGATCAGTGTAAACTCTGTTCTCTGCTGCCATCCAGAACTTGCTGCCTGGTTCATGAGTGCTGTGGCTTTTTAAAAAAAATGATGATGGGGACAGCAGAGATTGAAATGAATTACTGAGTGGAGGAACCCCAAGAGAGACCTCTCAAAGTGGTAGATTGCTTGCTTAGTCAAGGGATTTCAGGGGAGCTGGTTACTGACCATACCAACCTGGAGACTCGAGGAAAATGCTACCCCTAAGCCCTTTGTGGGAGGAATACCAAACTTTCTGCCTGATGCTTCTGAAAGGGGATAGGTGTATGTGGACATCCACCCTGCCCTGCCTGCAGTGACATGGGCTGCAGGCAGGAGCTTCTTCTAGGAAGCAGGTTTACTTCCCTGCCTGCTAGGCGTCTTAATAGATTTCTCTCGAGCCCTTCCAAGCTGCGAAGGTAGCAATGACATTAGCTGTTTATAACCTGCTGCCTGCCTTTCTCTCAGATGTATTTCATGTACAACCTCAGGCTTTTCCCATTTGCAGCTTAACTTTGTTATAAGGTGACTGCTTTTACTTCCAACTTCATTGATACCTATTACAAACTTGCCCTGCAGGTCAAGAAAGAAGGTTCCTCGTTTCCACAAGCAACCCTAAGTGGAAGTCACAGCGTGTGTGGTTTTTACAGTGCTAATGATACATGTTTTGACCCTCTGTTGTTACTCAGGGAATTTAGAAGGGTTTTTTCCACAAATACTAGTTTGCTCTACTTTACCACTTAAAGTTCACCAAGCTGCTCTATATAGGAGCTAAGGGATGCAGCAATGCAATGAAGAGAAATCAGTGGGCGGTCATCCCATGGTATGTTGATCATAGAGCACGCATGTTAAGCATGTTTTCAGGGTGAACTGTCAGCTTTGACGTTTGGGTACTGTGCAATGTAGATGGCTTAGCTGAACGGGAAAATCTCTAGAGCATCCGAACAAAGATGTCTGTGGGAGGGAGACTGTGCTACCGCAAAAAGTCCATTTCAGTAAATGGACATGTGGGTGTGTTAGGAGAGATTTAGAAAATGGTGCCTAAGAACTCCACGCTGTTGGTATATGTGCCAGGTCTGACCAAAGTGTTCTGAACGGTGTATTTGCTAACTCCAAATTACGGTTCTCAGCTCTGCCATACTGAGATACTCTGCTGGTAAGTACATGTGTTGTGTTACACAGTTCTCAACGTATGCTTTTGTTCCTCAGTATTGAGTTCGACCGAGACTGTGACTACTTTGCCATTGCTGGGGTGACAAAGAAGATTAAAGTCTACGAGTATGGTACAGTCATTCAGGACGCGGTGGATATTCACTACCCTGAGAATGAAATGACCTGTAATTCCAAAATCAGGTAGGCATTGAGTTTGTATTTGAACTCCGAGGACCTTTTCTGTTTGCTTGTTTATGTGCGGCAACTGTTTTGCTTTCTTTATCCATTGTGGGGAGGGCAAAGGAAGAAAGCAGGAGCTGATGGAGAACTTGCTTTGAACTCTGGGTGGGATCGGGTGGCACAAGCACTGTTACTTGTGTATGCCGGGCTCATCCAAGTTAATAGCAGGCCCACGTACCTGGGGGAGAAAGGGACATAGGGTAGTGAACTGCTTTTGTGTTCCTTGGAAATGCTGTTGGATACCTACTCAGTTAAAAGGAGAGTAGTGGATATGCTGCAGGTAAAGTCTTAGCTTTTCTCAAGGTACCTCCTGTGCCCAGTTCTTCATAATAGCCACTGATTCCTTCATGCTCTCTTCTCTCATCAACCAGATCCTTTCTATTCTGCTGAGAGACTGCTAGTCCTCAGGAAATGTGCCTCACTTGCACCCTCTGCCCAGGCACCCACGTCTGCCTGAAGTATTGTTCTGCTGAGCCTCATAATATCAAGCTCTTGGGAAAAGACCTTGCTTGATTTTTGCTTCTGTGCTGCTATCGTTACTGTCAACCTATCTTTTTAAATGACTTAAACCAAAGAGATACAGACCACCATGTCAGAACTTTAGTTGAAAGAATCCAGCTAATGTAACTTAAAAGTTCTAATTCAAAAATTCTGTTAAAGCTCAAAAGTAAATAGCACAGGCAATCAAACCAATTTAGTATTATAATACAAGTCTCCAGCATCTCTCAACTCACTTGTTTTTATTTGGTACTCTACATTTTAAAAACAGTAAAGTACCCACGAAAGTGTAAGTAATACATTTATATAACAGTCCGGCTTCCACGAAAACAGAATGTTGTGCAACAAGATCAATAACGTTTGCAAGCCTACTGCATAGTGTAAGTCATGCTTAGTTTTGTAGTTGACATGTTTCTTAAGGTAGATCAGTCACTCCTGTATCACTCATGCTGATTATTCTTGGGAATTGTGTAACACTGTTTTATGAAGGAAGAGATGTAAATGTAACTGACCCTGGGACTGGCTTTCAGGATGGGTAAAAACAGTCTGAGGGGTTCGTATTGATGAGCCACGCTGATTGTGGAGATTGTGTTTTGCTGGACTTGTGAAACGTTCAGCGTTTTTGCCTGAGTCATAGCAGAGTTCAGACCATTAGCTTCATTATTCTGGAGAGAAGAGCAGAGTAACAGGAGAACCCTCTAGCAGTCGAGTAATACCTTTTGCCTTAATTAGCCAGGGAAAAGCAATGTGTGTTTGGTAGTTGTCTTGTCTGTCTGAGACAACTTCCAAACTTGCTGCTTCCAATTTGACAGGGATCTACCCCGTCAATCCTGCCAGGCGTTAGGAAGTTGTTTGTTCTCCCTCCGCCGGCAGCCGCTGGTGAGGAGAGCTGCGATAGCACTGTCGGTGATGTTACTCTTGTCAGCCTTGTGCTCCAGACAAGACACCGCTTCCATTCAAGACTTCTTCTTTTTCTCAAATTTCATGCATATATACATTATATAGATATGATGATGCTAAATGCATTGTCCTCTGACACTCGGTGCCTCAGCGGAGGTGGATGGCGTCCTCTTCCTTCATCTCCTTGCCCTAGTTTCTCTCATTCCTCTGAAGAAATGCTCCCCCCCGCATCCCACCAAGGCACCTTCCTTCAGCATGTGGGTGCTTTTGGTTTTGACAAATAAAGTTAGGCTGTCAGTCAAATGCATCCTTGCTATATCCATTAGCTGTGCTGCCAGTCACTGGTGCTGGGGCTCGCTGGTGCAGTGTCGAGCAGCGTAATAACTTGCTATTCTGAAGTGGCGTAGCTTGAGGGAGAAGTTATATATGAAGGCTGTAATTTCATTACGAGATATTGCAGTATGTTGAAAAAGTGCCTATATCACAATAAAAAAAAAATCTAAACAAGTGGAGCCTGCTTTTTGTAAAAAAACCTTGGCTTAAAGCTGTTGATATTAATTTAGGTGGAGGTGCAGCTTCTTTCAGAGACTTGCTCTACCTGCTAGTGCCCTTTCTGCTTTCAGAGATGGACGTATTTCTGCCGTGGCACATGGGTGGTACCTCTTTCCGCAGCGGAGGTGAGGGGCTCTGTGTGCAGGTGGGATTCGGTGACACGTCTCCTCTGCCGAAGCTGGCGTGTGACGCTGGCGCCGCGTGTAACGTCCCTCGTGTGGCGCCGGAGCTGTCTGTCCGCAGGCACTTTGGCTTTCCAAAGACACGTCATGGGAGGCTCATGCTAAATTGATCCCGGTTAACCTTGTTCAGAGCGATGATGCTGGAACATAAATCGTTAGCGGTTACGTGGGTGACTCAGCTTTGGGAGGAGCAGCAGCGCTGATGGGCTTTTATAAAAGCAGACAGGTGACAGCATTCGTGAGGACTCGTGGCTGGCCAAGAGCAAGTCTGCTGGCCTGGAGCAGCTGCGGGAAGGGAAGCCCTTGCCTGGGACGGGGCTGGCACTAGCCCAGCCCGGCTCTGCCGTGTGCCAGCTGGGCGCCTGCTGAAAGGTTGAGCTTCATGCCAGCAGTAATGGATTGTAGGCTTTGCTGGAGCAGAGCCCTGGTACCAGCTGTAGCTGAGTCTTTCTTCCTCTTTTCCAACCCCCTTTTTTACACCCACCTGCTTCTTAAATACATTCCTTTTTTCATCATCTGCTGAGCTTTCTCATCCCTATTTTTAAAGACCAGGGAGGAAGTCAGTGTGTCAGGTTTCTGGTAAATGTGCGTTGTGTCCCCCGGCAACGACAGTGGCATAAGCTTCCAGGAAAAACACAAGATGACACATAAATCCTCATAAAAATCCCATTTACAGATTCATAGCTTCAGTACAAGAAACAAATCCTGGCATTGTATGGTAGCTATAAACAGCACCCTGTGAGCTAATTATGACTTGCTGTGTCCCTAGCTATGGCAGACAATCTGCGGCTCCCCTCGCGCAGGAGGAGGTGGGAAAGCACGAGAAGAGGATGAATGGCTAGCAGCGAGCCACAGCTCTTCTGATTTATTCAAGAGGCAGATTTGTTGTCTTGCCATAGGTTGCAGGGGGAGAAAAATAAGGAGTTCAGGTAAAAGAAATCGGCTTTAGGCCTCGTTAATCTACAATAGGTGATGTGCCAGGGTGATTAGGTAAACATGCTCTCGAAATCCATGTTTAGTATTCTGCATGCTCACCACTGTGTGTTTGCAGCAGCTGTACTTCAGTGATAGATGTTACCACAAACCTCCAAAATCAGCTGCATCTGTTTAGTCAACTGCAGTAAAAACGAAGCATCAGTAGGCTTTTTTTTTAGGTGGCTGCTAGTGTTCTATTGTTTTCATTTTTTCAATGTCAATAAATCAAATGCATGATTGCTGTATCCTAATAGCAGTTCATGGGCATATTGCTGTCAGTTTTTTAAATGGCAGTTAGTTCTCACTGTTAAGTTTAAGTTAAGGAAAAATTTGCTGTATGGTGTTTTTCTTCATAGAGCCTTTGCTATTTGCAGAGGTATGAGCTCTCTTTATGCTGAAAAACCTCATGAGTGGTTGTATTGGATGCCCATATTTCCAATGCAGAAAATGTTCAACACTAAACAGGTTATAAGAAAATACACCTTCAATTTTCATTAATTCCAGTTTTCAGAGTAACTGTTTCACTTTGCAGTAAGATGAAGCTTTTCTTTAAAAGTATTTGTCTCTTAAACCTACGAAAGGTTTTCTTTGGATTGATTAGAAACAATATTTTTTTAAAACATTCATAAAGTTAATGTAATTCTGTACGTCTCTGACGTATTTGATTAGCATTGTTATTCACATGGGTGTTCCTTGCAGTAATAGATCACTCCCTTAAAAACACTTCAGTCCTAAAACTACCGGGCATCGGTTGACTCATGGTAATAGACTGGATCTGAAGCACTTGGCACTTGGAAGCAGGTCAGACCACAGCAGTTTGTGCCTTATTAAAAGCTTTAACTCCATTTAACTCTCGCCACCAGAGGGGTGGCTGACATTGGGTAACTTGGTCCTGGATTTGAGACATTTCAGGCGTAAAAATACTGGCTCATGAAAGAAACATCAGCATGACTGACAATGCTAACCGTGCTGGCCCGCTTGTCTCTGAATAAAATGAAGGATGCACATAAATCTTTATGGGGTCAGAATTTCTGTGTGTCCGGATCGGATGCTGAGGTTAGGAGAATGTTTCAGAGGTCGGTGATTAGCTTTCAACCAGAGTTTCTCCAGGCTAATCTCCTAGGAAGGAAAGCTATCATAGCTTATGGCAAGGTAAACCTCTGGGGTGTTAACTATTGCCCTGTTTCTGGATTAAAGAGCAAAGCAAAAACTGAAAAAATAACGGCTACTAGTATTTAAAATAAAAGGTGGCCTCACACAGCGCTGGATTAAAAGGAGCTGAATTATGCATTACCTCAGCCTTAGGTGGCTTTTTTTTTTGTATTATATCTCATAGCCTCCACCCTTCGGTTTGTCCTTGGATGTGACTGCAGGCCATCTAAAGGTTGCTTGCAAAAGGTTATTTTTATGTGCTTGTGAGGTTTTGATGCTTAACCTGTTTGTGGACTGTGTAAGCTGCATTTTTTTGTCTCTCACCTTTGTCCTTTCCTTTCCCCATCTCCAACTTGCTCCCCCATGCATTTTTGAATGTTACTTGATTGGTTACCCATGATAGCATCTCAAGGGAACCCAAAAAACTAGTTTGTCTTTGAAGTTCAAACAAAATTGCCTGTGTTGGGCATGGAAGTAAGATCACTGCTTCCCCTGAGGGGAGCATGGCAGTAGCTTCTCAACCCTTTGTAGGTCCCAGGAAAGCCACATGGAAGAGAAACTTCGTAATGTCCCAGCTCCAGGACAGCCTTCTTTCAGGCCTCCATCATCGCAGATACCAGAGAATACAACCAAAGGACAGGCAGCCCTTGATAAAAAGCATCCTTTACCTGGAGAGGGAGCTCCCCTCCACCTGACCCATCCCTGAATTGTGCTCTACACAAGTTACTTTTGAGGATTTAAGTTACAAAGAAGCCTCAGGTACTGCAATGTCAAGGAGAAAACTCTGGTTTCAGACTTTGTAAAGAGAGCTGGGTGGTGGTGAGGGGAGAATTGAGGCAGAGAACTGGAACAGGATTGTTTTTGTCTTACTATGATCTTTTAATCATATTCCTTAAAAATGGAAGATTTATGGTGTGTGTGACTTAAAAGGTGTTAATTGAACCACTTAGTGGCTGCAAATCCCTAAACATTTTTCACCTGTCAGTTCCTGTTTCCCCTCTCAGTCTACCTACAAATGCTTTCCAAATGAGTGTTAACTCCTTGTTAACACGGTCAGGCTTCAGTGGGACAGAATGCTTAGCTTGATCTCTGCTGTGCCAGACCTAAAAGCCCTTCATTTTTCCCCATCTGTATTGATTGATCTGATAAACTATTGCCTCTGCCTACAAACCTGATATTTCTTACACGCTTAGATCTATCACATCTCAAGCAGCACTATTAAACTCTGTCCCTTATATTTTTCTGCCTACTCAGTTAATTCCTAATTTTCATCATTTGGGGTGATTTTCTTTTTTTGGCAAGATACAGTTAGGTGATATCCTCTTCATAGCTCAGCTTGCAGCGCCCAGCTCTTTTCTGCTGGTCAGATGTGGATCTCGTGTTCCCCTCACATAGAGCATCCGTCCTCTAACCGGCCAGGGCGGCACCACCAAGTCTGCCTTTCTCTAGGACCCTCTCCTCCTGCTGATGCTGCCCAACGTACTCTCAAAGCCATCCACATAGAAGACTGCCTTCTGTAAATATTTGGCCCTGGGGCTGTATTCTTCTAGCTCTTGTGTGATGGCTAAACTTACAGAGTATTTTTTTTTTCTTAAACTGCTGAAGCTCTGACTTGAGTGGAGATAAGATGGCAGGGCGAACAGGTTTGAACCGATGAATGTCTAGTGCAGTGTCTGCCTCCCTGCCATTAGCTGGAGACTGCTCCCTGCCCAGAGCCTCACTGTGTTGTAGCTCTAGGGCTCTTTGCTTCCGTCAGTGACTGACTGCGCTGCCTGGAAACAAGACTCCAGACGTCAGATGTGGTTATCTCTGGACTGCTGCAACCTTCACAGTCCTGGTGGGCAGTGCCTGCCAGCTTCATTTGTCCTCAGGGAGCCACTCGAGCCTCCCTGAATGAAGCTTCTAGTAAATCACACACTGTCAAGACCTGCTTTTCTGTGTGAGTACCTAACAGTAGTAGAGCTGGCATAATGATTGCTCCTTGTCGATACATTTGTGGACAGCCCTTGTACCTAAAAGGGCTGAGGACACTAACGTTGTCTAATTAATGACGTATCTTGGAAGAGGTGAGACCAAGGAAAGCATTGCCTGAGCTGTATCACTTCAGCCATCTTCTTAGCAGCTGCTGGTTACAGACAATGACTTGCACTGGGTAAATAAAACTCTTAAGTTTCTGAATGCAAAGTTTTAAAACCAAGGGATGCTGTTATAAGAAGAGAATGTGCAAGTGTGTGAACAGACTATAGGTAGAGAGAGTGCATACCGGGAGGAGTGTTTGACAGGTTGAAAGCAGTGTGATCCAGTGTCCCTCTGTACTGGCCCTTCTAAAGAAAGCTCCCAGTGATCCACTGGGGCAGGTGTGTCCTGAAGGTTTTCTCCAAGCATCGCGCAGAGGCTCACAGAAAGCGCTGCTGTTGGACGACTTTGTCTTGTTTCTGTAAGTTAAAGATTAACTTGTGCAGGCAGAGGAAGTTGGAGCTAGAAGTCTTTTGGATCACTCCGTGAAGTTTCCAGCTGATGCAAGCACCAATAGCATGTTATTTCTTCCTCATATTTCTTCAAATTTGTCTTAATGGGAGGCAAGAACCTCAACAGATTTTTATTTGGCTGCTCCAGAACCTTGGCTGAGCATGGTGATTCCACGCAGCTAAATAGTGGTGAGCTGTGATTAGTGGTTGGTATGCATAGTCCCTCTGTAGTTATAAAACTCACACCCCAGAAAGTTAAGTTTGACCATTGTCAGGAGGAGAACACCGACGCTGCTTGCTGTTATTTAAGTAATTGAAAAATAAGCATTTCTGTTTAACTGCCTTAAAGGAAAAGGATTTTTTTCCCCTTCTGTATGTAAATTCCTAAGGAAAACAGGATGTGAGTGTACAGTAGAATGAAGAATTTGCCAAGGTATAATACCCCAAAGTCAGTATCCATGTATCTACATCATATTTCAATGTGTAGCTGCACTGACCATAGCAGTACTAAAAAGTTACAGGATCACGGACTTCTAGTTTATATTGTTGGTTAAAACTTAGCCCCAAGGCTACTGTAATCTAGTTAACTGTGTCAGAGCTGTTTGACCTGCATGAATTGGATCTGTCAGTTCAGCTTCTGCTACATGCATCACAGTTCATACCAACTGGTGTGCTTTTCTGCCAGATGGTCCAGAAATTGGTGAACAAGTATTACAAATTTTCTTACCTCTGTCACGTTTTTTTGGGAGTCAGAGCGGAGGCATAGTGCCAGAATGCTGGAAATGTGACTTGGCAGTGTCGCTGCTCTTGTTTCGTCTGCTGATGATCAGAGTTTGTCAGTGGAATTGCCATTTAGTTTTGCATGGCCACTTAAGTCAGTTTAAGATATAAACCCGTGCGATATATATTGCACTTCTTGATCAGAAACATCTAAATGTTTCTTTTAGTTTGCGGAGGAAGGTTTGTTATATTTCTGGTGGTTTTGGTTTTGTCCTTTCCTGAGTGTTTCAGTGGGGTGGCTTGATCAAATGCTGCGTGCTTTGCCAAGGTGCTAATTGTCTGACATCTTGCAAGAGTGGTTTTTCTTGTAAGGTATGATTTAATGTAAGACTGACTAGGGCTCTTTTTCTTTTTAAGCTGTATCAGCTGGAGTAGTTACCACAAGAACCTGCTAGCCAGCAGTGACTATGAAGGCACCGTCATCCTTTGGGATGGATTCACGGGACAAAGATCCAAGGTCTACCAGGTAAGATGCAAGCAGTGAGCAACGCTTTCCCACACCATGAACCACGTCAAGGGATCAGTATTCAATCCGAGATTCTGCTTCTAGTGCAGCAATAGGCTTTCACATTCCCCAGGGTGAAAGGGATGCTCTTCCTGCTTGGTAAATGTGTCTCATCTGCACAGCTTTATCGAGCTGTAGTCCTCGAGGGAGGCAGCTATATCTTCTTGTCACAGTCATGAGGCAGTTGACGTTTTCTTGCTGCACAGGGAAAGGGAATCTGCACAGGGAGAAATTACTTTCTGGAAGTGGTTTGTCTCACCTTTCTTTAGAAACTTCTGTTTCTCCATACCTGTTCCACTTCAGTCTTTGTCAAAAGCCTTTTGTGAAATCCTGCAGTGATTGCTGCAGCTGCTTGTAAAGCAGAAGAGCAAAATGCAGACTTAAGTGACGAGGTTGGGAGAGCAGAGCGGTAGGCAGAACCCTTCCCAAGGCACAGTCCTGCGCTCGGCAGAGCAGCGACGTATGCAAGTGGGCTGAGCTCAAGAGCAAGACTGCTTTCAGGAGAACGTCTTGGCATTTTGTCTTTTCATGCAGCTTGAACATTGTTTCTATATAAAGGATTCAGAGAGGCTTGTGATGAGAACAAGGAGGTTGGAAGAGAAGATGGTCCATTTGGAAAGAGGTTGGAAGTGCTGCAGGCTGTTGTGTAGGTAGCGTTGTGCATTGAAACTGGTCAGTGATAATGAATGAACTGCACACTAGCCTTCAGTTCCCCCTTCTTGACAGTTCAACATAAGTTTTAATTCCTATTTAAGCTCTTGTTTACTTTTTCATTGTGTTTTGGCCATTTTATAATGATTGCTTTCACTAATCCTTTGCATATCTCAATTAAAAAGAAATTATACTGGACAAAATAAACATTGTCTGTTTTCCTCTCAAATATATTTTGCATTTCTTTTGAGGCTGAATAATGAACCTAGAGAGGACCAGCTGTTGCTTATGTTAAAACAAACTCATTTTGCTTCCTATCAAGATTACTTGAATTTTTTATTTGGATTTGCAGAGAAGCATGCATACTGACATCTGCTTCACATGTATTAGGAATCCTTTAGTGACTTTGTCCTGGCGAGCTTTTCACGTTGCCTTGCAAGCCTGTATGAAGGCTTTAAATCAAAGGGTTTGACTGAATTTTGGGTTTCGTTCAATGTGGTGTTTTGCTTCCATGCGGGATGTGCCAGCATAGCAAATACAGCTTTTCTGTGTTTTGGGGAAGAGTGTGCAGCCTTTTAAGAATATTTGAGGCAAAAAAACGGGATTAAACACCAGAAGTTTTGTTTAGTAGCTCAATAGGAAGGTGAGGATTTCTTGCACTTTCAAAGAGGAGGTGTTTGAAACGGCTTTGAACGGGCATCTAATTGGTATTGGGAGATAAAACTGTGGCCTACTAAAATAAGAAGCAGCACACAGTGAACCACAGCCAGTCAAACCATGCTGCAAAAACAGGTCTTCAAGGTATATTTCCTGAAATCAGTGTTTTTTTATTTCAAGTAAAAAAAAAAAAAACAACCATTTTTTAAATTCCCATTCTACTGTTTTCTGCTTTCATGGCCTGACTAACATACTAAAAGCATTGGTCTGATTGGGAGAAAAGATACTTTTTTGGGAAACTGATGAACACAGTAAGCTTCTCTGTCCAGGGCTCTCCTGACAATTTATACCAAACAGCATGTGTTTTTTCACTTACTATTTTATCAGATCACAACTCACTACTTTGTAATATTTTTCTTGTTTCTCTAAACAGGAGCATGAGAAGAGGTGCTGGAGTGTTGACTTTAACTTAATGGACCCAAAGCTATTGGCTTCAGGCTCCGATGATGCCAAAGGTATTATCCTTTTTCAGTCTCTGTGCAGAAGGCTTACACTTTGTGTATTCCCGTTGAGGAACAAAAATGTAGTATTTCAAGTAGCTGATTCCTCAGCTGCCCTCAATATTGGAGTTGATGTGGTAATGTGTAAAGATATTACTGAACTGTTCGGATCTTAGATAAGGAGCAGCTTTGGATTAAGATTTCTTGATGCAGTTCACATTTTTTGGATAATATGCTCTCTAGCTAGCATTTTCCAGGACACTAAACAAAGCAAAATGTGTTTTAACATTAGTTAAGCTTGTTGAGTTAAAGCCTTGGGGCCTTTCAAAAGAACAGCATGTATTTATATTTCAAAAATGAGGCTCTTGGCAGGGGGGAAAGCAGAAGTTAAAAATGCCTGCTGCAGTTTTACCTGTAGCTCTGAATGTTAAGGACTGTGCGCGATGAGAAGCTTCCCGCTTCCGCAATGTGCGGTGTGTTTCTCGCAGCTTGAGAGTCCAATGGTGGCCTGAACGAGGGCTTTGGGAGCTCTTCACACTCCAGGGTCTGTTTGACAAAGGGCTTTTGGATAACCCTTAAGACAAGCCCTTTCCCAACATACTAATGAAAAATGTTCCTCTTCCACGAAGAAATGGGAAATTTCTAAAGAGAGTGATAGCACCGAGCGATGTGTAGTATTCTTCATTCCTGATGAACAAGACTTTATCTGTAGTATGTTTATGTTATCAAATTGGATTTTTTTATCTAATACCAAATTATTTATGTTTACAATATCAAATTAGGGTTATTAAGCAACAAGAGCTTTAGAGTTCCTTTCCTAGTCAGTGGGGATCAACTCTCCCAGATGGGCTGATACAGCTCTGGACAGCTCTTCGTTTGCTTTGAAATTATAAATGAATTTTTCATAAACATTAAACTTTGCCAGCTGCTCCCCCCTCTAAAATGCTTTTAAATTCTGTTTCAAAAGAAAGCTGTACTAGTGTTCCTCAGTTGCATTCGGCAGTCTTAATGTAGCTGGTAATTCCATATACAAAATGCAGCTTTCATGATTATTTTATATTTAAGGTGTGTTTTATATGCTTTTGATCAACCAAATGCAGGGGGAAAGTGTAAGTCAGGAGGTTTCTGTGTGCTTAAATGCAGCAGGAGTGAACATTCACCTTGTAAATTATCAACCTTTTCATCACGTTGCTCCCCACTTGTGCTGTGCATTTGAAAAAGCTTATCTGCCAGGTAAACTTGCATTTATTAGCATGTTAACAAGTTGTCCAGTTTTGCAAAGCCAGCTGCAAGCAGAGCTCCTGTCTCGAGTTTAACAGTTCACTTCTGTAATAGTTTCTAAAAGCGTAGTGTTTACTTAGAAATTATTGTAATAAAGTCTGCAGATCTACATCACTTGCATTTCAATTAAGAAAGGTCTTTTGAAGGTGTATTGGGGTTTTGGTGAATAAAACTGGGCTGGAACACTTTATCCTTTACTTCTACCATGGTTTGCCTGTGATTTGCATATGTAGCAAGCTCATTAGAGACAACTGGAGTCCTGCGTGGAAGTGTTTGAAATAAGCCCAGATTTTAGAAGTCTTTAAGACACAGAGCAGTAGTAGCAAATGGCCACATTGATGTTATAGTGGCCACCTTATATTTCAGTGATCGCATTGAAAGAGTTAAGTGTGAGGAAAAGGTAACATGTATAACAAGTTGTCTTAACTCAAACCTGCCTAACTTACAGTTTTGTCTTTCTGCTTGTCATGTTCATGAGGGTTTGCTTGAGTTCTGGCCAGCTTTGGGCACATACAATACACACAGTTTGGCCAGGTATGGCATCTGGTGGGAAATACAAGTTTTATGTACCCTTCCTGTCCTCTTTTACTTCTCTGCTTGTGTGAGGCCACACTGGCTTTTCTAACAAGAAATCTCAACGCTGATAGATACTGGTGTGACCAGAGCGATTGGAGCTAATCTCGCTGCGCTTCCCCGGAAAGCGTGGGTATAACATTTTCCTGTCAAGTGATCAGGACAAGCCAGCAAACAAGTGACAGCTTTGCCAGTTCTTCCTGCTTGCCTGTGTATCTGCCCGTCTCTCCTCAGTCTTTTCAAGTTGGAAGCTAATTTTTAAACCCCTTTGTATGCTCGGTAGGCATGTATTGGGGAAGGAGCTTTTAGATGAAGAATTCCAGCATCAGTGCTTCACAGCTGTCTCTGCCAGGGCTTAGGCACAGCACAGGCGGTGCTAACGAATGGAGTGCTATTAGGGATAAAATGATTCTGATACAATTAGAAACAGTGTCCTTTGGTCTCAGGACCTGCTTGTCCTCGTTGTTAGATGAAGATAATCCAGGATGCTTATTCATGGAAGATCTTTCTGCTTTAATAGCAGATAATGAGAGCATAAAAGCATTATTGTATTTGAAGTAACTACTGTGTGTATGAAAACCTCACTTTTATCTACAGTTGTCGTGTCCTTCCCTGTTAAAGGGGCAAAGGTAGTTATGTATGTCTATAGGGACCTGATGGTGTACTCCAGCTAGACAGCAGTGAGCAAAATTAAAGTGTTTACTTGTGCTACAAGCAGCTTGGGGAAACAGCACAGCCTTAATTTCAATTATTTTATGCACATAGTTATGGCAGGAGCCATGATTCTCATGTAACTAGGAAAGGGTGAATTTCTGCTCTTGGAGGAGAAAAGATTATTTAATTTGGTGAAGGCAAAATGATGCCATTGAAGTGCCAGGATAGGGCTGGAGCTAGTGTACTTAGCTAATGACTTACAGCTGCTTCTCAACCCAAAATCCCTGTCTGTTCTGGATTGGGAATGTAGTTTAATGGCCATGGTAAAGTTAGCAGACAGAGCAAAATACTTCATGATGCCATGTGCGTAGAATTTAAGTCTCCACTGGGCCAGAGACCTGTTTTGGAGTGATCAAGCATTTGTTCTCTGCTCCGGGATTGGTTTTGAAGCTCTCTGAAGCTCAAGTAGAAACAAGCAGTACTGACAAGTTCAATTGTAGAATGAGTCCTGGTTTTGTGTCCTTTCTGTAAGCTGTAGTCCCTTCACTATTCCCATCTCAAAATGGAGAGGTGGAACAGAACAGGAGCAACAGAGCTCAGTTGCTCTGAGCTGTAGCAAGAGGTTACTTTTCATTGTCTCATGGCAAGCATCCATTTCGTTACATCTAAGGAAAGTAACTTCCACGCTGCCTTGGTAACTGAGACCATTGGTACCGGTCCTACAGCTATTTTTTTTTATAGTGCCCCTGAATTCAGAGGAGCAATGTGGATTTGCAGAGTTGGCTTCGTAAAAAAGAGACATGGCCTTCTAGACAGGGAACGAGCCTGAGAATTGTGGATCAGAGTTTACTCCTCAGCCTTGTTTGAGGACTCTAGAGGATTGTTTGGGGCTTCATTTTCTGTGATACTTCATTCTTTCAGCTTCTGCTGACTTTAACTGGAGGTATAGGTGTTTATTGCTCTTAAAATATCAGGTTGAACTTTCAGTTTGCCTATTTTCCTGGCTAAAAGAAGTTCGATAATTTCCCGGAGATATGTGGGGTTGTTGGATTCAGTTGGGAATAACTTGAAAGGTCAAGAAGATGCTGGTAAGTTTAAATACCAACCAAAATATCTGTCTGGCTCTGTCTTACACAAGGAGGAGTACCCTGCGGTGACTGCCTGCTGACAGTAAACAGTTTACACCATCCTCCTGACCTACGCAAGGCAGTGGATCAAAAATTTTGCCTAGCACGGCAATTCAGCAGTTTCCTACTTTCCTAGGGACTCCTGTAATCTGTGCAAACGAGTTTTCTGGTAGCAATATCCTATCCTGGTTTACAGCTTTTTCAGAGTAACAGCAGGCTCTCCATCGCATGAGCAGATAAGAATTGCAAGAGTGACAGGGTGGATGAAATATCCTTACTATCAGTGTACCAACTGTGTACATCGACACCTTCAGCTATTGCAGTACAGGCTTCCACCTCTCAGTGTTTACACACAGAACTGATGTATAGAAAATTAATTTATAAACTTACACATTTGGTGTAAAGCTTCAACCAAATAAAATATCTCAAAGACCTAAACATTTTAAACTGAAAAAGCTGTTCTAGAGGCATCTTGTTACTACTCTGGTGAGGGGTAGGCATTTGGCCATGTAGAGGATGTCTGTCTCAGCAGCTGCAGAAACAGGAAACTTGTGCTTTGAGAACCTGTGTTTTAGAAATAGTCAATCTCAGATGGTTGCTTGTCTCCTCAACACAATTCGAGGTGTTATCAAGACATCTGTACGTTGTATAATTACTGCCTTGACCTCAGCAAAATTGCTGAAAGCTACAGCAAATAAACCCTACCCTTATGAATTATGCTTTATTAACCTGTCAGTTCTTTTTAAAAAATAATGGGTAGTTCCAGGTAAAACTTGACATGTTTCATTACGTGTTGTTATATGTCGCATATATCCTTTTTTATGGCACTGACTAAGGTATAATTGGAGCCCGGTGTATCCCATAGCAGTTAGATCACAGAAATTGCAGACTCTAATCTGTGTCTGTCAGTTGTAACGAATATTATGATGGCTTTGAACACACAGGTTGACTCTTCACCAGATTAAGTGGCTCAGCTTAAGACCTGGAAACTTGAAAGAAAAAAGGAGCCAAGTTGAAATTGAGCCCTCAATTAGCTTTTACTACAAAACTGAGACCAGATGGCAGTTCGTTTATTAGAGGGTTTGTCAATGAGAGACTTGGCCATTTTGGATGCAACTTTAAATATTGATACCTGGTTGGAAGGCTTTAAGACAAGCCGGTGTGGTTTTAGTACTTGATTTAGAGAGGACATTGCTCTGAACTGTGAGATCATGTAACCTCCCCGCATGCCTCAAGCTGAAGCAATGTTGTCTGCCAACAGTGTCCTCTTGTAACCATGGTATTATTTGCTTCCTATACCATCTCATCCATAAACTTGATGTCCTCTACTGCCACCGCAACTTAGATTATACATCTCTTGGTGTCTGTTCATTAAAGCAAAGTGCTAATGTTTTACTGTTTTGCAAAACTGGCTTTCCTGGCTCTGTTCCCCTCTCCACCCCCAAGTACAAAACCCAATGGAGGAGGTATGTCATCCTCATCCAGTCTCAATTGGGAGAAGAGAGCATCTTAAGCCATGCTTGCAAAGCTGTTGGTTTGAAATGTAGCTAGATGTTCAGGTTGAATATTACAGCTCTGGCAAATGAGAATGGGTTTTATTTCTGAAAACCAACAACAGGGCGGGTGCTGTTTTCAGTGAATTTTACATAATGCTTATATACAAATACTGTATGCATCAGTGTTTGTATTTCTGGTGTATGTGTGCGCTGCTTTATAATGGTTCCAGGCAGCTGTCAGATACCCGCACAGTGCTGCATGTAAAATGATTCCTCAGTGAGCACTGAGCAGTCATGTATTTCCTTTATCCTTGAAGCAGTTCTCCTAGGTATGGTCAGAAATTGCACGATTTTGTTGCTTTTCCTTGCTTGCCATACTATTAAAACATAGGTGCCCTAGAACAGAGAACCTGTCAGCATTCCTCCTTTTCCTTGGCTGTCTAAAACATCCCTGAGTAATCCATGTGGAAGCCTTGCTGCTTCTTCAGAGCTCTTGGGGAAGACGGACCAAGAGGTGACACAGAGGGGCCCTCAGGGGGTGGGGACACACACCATAAGACCATTTACCTCATTTATTGACCACAGTGGGTAACAAGATTCCTGTTCTTTTACCATTTTTGCTCACTTCACCTCCAAAACTTTCTGTAAAAAAAAACAGCAGAGGACCCATTGGCCGCATATCTGAAGAAGCCCAAGAAACCGGTGGCAGCTGTTCAAGGCATTAAGCCTTTGTGTAGCTCCTATGTGTTCAAACATTGGCTTCAGCTTGCTCCGCTTCCTGCGCAGCACACCGATCGTGATACTCGAGTACAACACAACCCACTCATCGAGGAAAAAGGGGAAGGGAGAATATTTGCATCTTATTTAAGTCTGCCTTGTAGGAAGCAATGGGGCTTGATGCCAGTGTGCTGCCCCTTCACCTGGACCGAGGGCAAAGTGTTTCAGCTGCAGCTTTTAACAGTAAGCTTCGCTACAGGGGGAGTACCTGGAGCTCTTCATCTTTAAGGTTAAATGGTACTTGGAAGTGTTTCTGGAGGGTGGGGAAGGCTGTATTTTGAAAAGCGGTTGGTGTTTTCTGTTGCTTGTCCTGTGACGCACTGGAGTACTTGGATAAGAGCTCATTCTGTACCACGAAGCTTAATCAATGTTCACACAGCAGTCTCGTAGAACAGTAGAGTTCCTTGTACCAAGGAAATATATCATCGTAGGAAGCCAGCATACTGATTTCTTTCCTGTCTGTGCCAGTTTCTCGAGAATAAAACAAGTTGTTCTCACTCACTGTGCTCAAGCATACAATTAGGTACATTTATTCTGTGCAAGGCAATTCTGCTGTGGAGCATGGAGGCCTCGCATCCCAGCTAAGAGACAAGGAACAAAAAGGAGGCAAGCCTTCCTGTTCTTGGTTATATGAACCTGAACTCCAGTAGCCTTAAAGTCTGAGATTCTAACATGGTTACTCACCTGCTCTGATGTTCTCAGCCATGTGGTATGTGGACTTTCAGCATCTCCTGTGTGTGTGGACGTGGGCAGAATATTTACAGCGTGCACTTGAGAATGTTCTCAAGCTTAACAGCCATCAGCACCAACTGACCCTTTATAATCACTAATATCTTGGCAAGTGAGGCTCTTCAGATTCTTATTTATGAAATAACTAGTTTTTATGCCTGTCAGATGAGGTTGATTTTTTTGTTTGTTTACTCATTTCTCTTTTTCTTTTCTCTAGTGAAGCTGTGGTCTACCAACTTGGACAACTCAGTAGCAAGCATCGAGGCCAAGGCTAACGTGTGTTGTGTCAAATTCAGCCCCTCTTCTAGGTATCACCTAGCTTTTGGCTGTGCAGGTAGGTAAAAGGGGTTTTGGGCAAAGAGATTCTGTTCCTTCCTTCCTTCGTTTCTTATTCCCCCTGAAGTTGTGAGGTTGGCTGCTGTGGCCAGCACTAAGGTGTCTTTGCAGTTAAAATGCCTCTGAGTAAGACTTCTCAAGTGTGCAGTCACCCAGAAGACAACATGATACCCAAATGTCAGCTTCATCCTGCGGCCTGACTTTTTAATTTGTGTGCCTCTATCAGAGATAAAAGCTCATGAAAGCAAGTCACCTAGTGTGTTTGAGATCAGGCAACCAGGCAAAGCTCAGCTTTGAGACTCTGATAGCAAAGTTAATGTGTTAACATGGTGATAGTTGTTCTTTCTGATTTATAGTGTTGCTCTATAAATACTATAAAGCCATACTGGGAATTTTAACTGGTTTTACCCGAGGCGTGCTATAAAACAGTGGCTGTGCGTGTTTCCCATAGCTGCAACTACAATCCCCGTGGGTGGGCTCGTCTTTTCCTAGGTTGGGCAAAGCATTGCTGTAATGGGGTTTTTTTGAAGTTGTCAGTGGGGAAGGCACAACGAGCCTTTTATTCACTTAGATTAAATAGTTCGTGGTGATAATACAAAGATTTGAGAGCAGAGAGGGTATCGCTCTGGGAGGAAAGCTTTTCATGCTATGCATGCCGCAACTGAAACTCGGAGGTACCTATAAATGTTTAACCAACTCTGCATTTTCTTTCTCCTCGGGGAGTTTTAATGCACTTGTAACTAGATGTTCCGATGACATTTGCTGTCTCTGGACTTCAGGAGATACGTAGATCGTTCTTGCAACCGCTGGTTTTCCATTTCATTTAGGTGTTCCCATTTCCAGGCTGGTTCTGTTTAGATTGTGACTCTTAGGAGGAAAAATAAATGTGCATTTTGATACACTGCGAAAAATGGATTCAAGTTGGAGTGTAAAATATTGACTTGCTTGACAGGGTTCTCGCTGAAGTTTAGTAAATTACATGCAAGAATAGAATTGAATTACAATACCTACTAGCTGCATTTGAATGAAAGGGGCTATCTGTGAAAGGCTCTAGGGAGAGATGAGAGTACCAGTTCCGAATGGATCAGTCGCTGATTAAAATAGATATGTAAAAGCCCCACAAAACAAAATTCTTCCTGATAAATCAGTAACCGGGATTGCTTTCCACCTGAAAGGCAGAGAGGGGGGGAATAAGGCACAGATAAATCTATGAAGGCTTGCGGAGCTGTAGGGCATGTGGGATGGAAGCAGAGAGGAATGTCTCTGTGCTCGTGCCTCACAAACCATGATGGGCTCATCTTCAACAAGCGTGTTTGGGAAGGGAGAATGAGCAAGCACTAGGAGTTATGCGGAGCTCTTAGGTGACCACGTGTGCATTTCTAAGATTTAGAGAATACTGAGGGGTAAAATGGTATATGTACTGGGGAAGAAGGCATAGGAGGGAGAGAAGATAAAATCTTAAAAGTGTTTACATCTGCTTGATGCTTGGTAATTGAGTCGCTAAATAAAAATTAAAATAGATATTTAACTATGATTGCTGAAACAATTACGTGGAGTAATTGAACTGATGGGAATGACTTCCCACAAAGGAATTCTAATTGATCTTTCGGCCATAAATGCATGTGAAAAAATGCCTTATGAAATGAAAAGAAATTCTGGGGTCCTGAAAGATGTTGTTTCTGAGCTCTTTGAAGGAAAAAAAAAAAAAAAAAACAAAAAAAACAAAAAAAAACAGAGCAAAGAAAGGAGTTGGTGCCTACTTTCATCTAGTTGAAGATGTCCCTGCTCATTGCAGGGGGGGTTGGCCTAAATGACCTTTAAAGGTCCTGTCCAACCCAAACCATCCGATGATTCATACTTTGTGTAGTTAACCAGTCCTGTTCAAGGTGTTACAATGGTGACAAAGGCTTTTCCTCCATCAGTTTCAGCTAGTCTTGTTTACTAATTTCATTTAGTCTGTGGAAAAAACAATGTAACTTGTAAGTAGTGTATTTTGTCATGTGGGCTATAAAATTAATAAAGGAAGAGTCAAAGCTGGTTTCCTTGAGTAGTATTTAATAAAAAAAAGGGGGGGGGGGAATTGAGCACACTGATACGGCCATTCTTGTTTGCCCCCTGTAGAAATAAAGATGAACATTGCAAAAGACTAAACCATAATTCAGTGACAAGTGTCATGGGCAATTTTAGAAAGTTGTCCTCTCTGCCTTGGTTTGTTCATTCACTCAGAGGTTTCAGTTTTGAAAATTGTCTCAATTACTTTTTTCAGTGATTTATTCAATAGTAAAAAAGCAGAGGTTTTCTAGCACTGCACACCCAAGATGATTTTGTATAGTATCTAGGCAGAAGTGCTGCTCCTGTCTATAATCTGTTTTATTTGTTGATTTGATGGAACTTAATGCTATATGTGTGTGTGTATATATAATTTATAGCTTAAGGCTTGATGAGATAAGCAATTGATGAAAAGGTTGGTGTGGGGGAAAAGTAAAAAGTATTGGCACTTAATATTTGAGATGTAAAAGGAAGTAAATAGATTCGATATACTATTATTAAGTTACTAAACATATGTGTTTCAGTTCTCTCCCTTTTTCTGTACACAAAATAGCTTGCAAGCTAGCATGCCTTGGTTTAGAAATGCAGTTATGACTACAAGCCTCTTTTTTTTTTCAGTGCTAATATTTTGAAATTATGAATTATTATTTTCCAGTTTTCATTTTCTGTTTTTATTTTTCTCTTGAGAGTCTTTCTTAACCACCCATACAGCTGCAACACCTTTTCGTAAGGTCTTGTTCTTATGCCTTACTTACAGAAACGTTTTCCTCTGCCCTTGACAGATGCGTCTTGCCCACTTGCATCCATCTATTCAGATGCCTCTTTGAAGCGGGGTTTCCTAATGAGATGCTTCAACTAGATCAGCATGTGAATCTCTGTGCTGGTTCCCCCTTTGCATTCTCCTCAGAAATAGGATGGCTATCCTAAGGTCATTTCTGCCCTGTCTCCAGTTTATGTATCCCTTCTCAATTGTTAGTAAAACCTCGGCTGTTGGCTCACCTCTCTACCAGTGATGCCACATCGTTGTGCATGGGTAAAATACTCGGAGAGGTACCTTTGTGCTTTCTCCAATTTTAGACTCCCTTTTACAGCAAAAATAGGAAGGAAGGTACTTAGAAGTCCCACAGAGGTCTATCTGCACATGTGGTATGATTTATGTGAGCAGCAGCCTATTGAAGTCTTCTCCTTGCCCTTTTGTTCCCTGTGTGATTCTATCTGCTCTGTCCAGGGGCTTTTTGGGGTGGAGGGGGTCACTTCTGGATGTCGGGTGCTGAGTGCGACGGCAGCCTGGGTCATGGCTGGGTCCCGGCTGGGTCCCTCAGCCATACTGCAGTGTAGGTAGCCACAGTCATGCACCAGACCTTCACGGCCCTGTAAGTAATCCTGAACCAGAGATCCTGTTTTTAAAGCAGCACTTCCTCCTGCAGCCAGTTTGCATGCTGTATTGTCAAATAAATAGGAGCGAACCAAAGGACTGCGGTGACGGATTTTGAAGCAAGGCCAGGCTGCAAACCCTGTGGCACAGTCAGTGAAATGGGGGTTATTGCTCCACAAGCTTTGGAGATTTTCTCCCTGATGAGACTTACATTGACTCTGGTAGACTGCTCACTGCTGTTCGTATCGTACTCCTCCTCCTTCGTGGAGAACATCCCATTCCCCCTTGTGCCGAGTTCCTCTGTGGGTCCCTGCCCACCATTGGCAGCAGGAGAACATGAAGCGACTGCCTTGAATGATGCCTCCTGAAAAGGACATGATGTGGGTTGGAATTGGCATTTATGTGGATTTCTTGGTCAAATCCTCTTGTGCTTCAGTATACCTGTTGGTAAACATGAGTAGTGATCATGGAAGGACTTGCAGTGATGCTTTGATTTAGATGTAGCCATGGTCAAAAGCATTGTTATATTGTGTATCTCCATATGGAGAACTTTCCTTTCGTAGAGAGTACTGGGTTGGCCTCAGATGCCATAGAAAACCGTGCTTTAATTGCCATTATAGAAGCAAATCCTAGCATTACCATCTAATATGGATGATATATATGTTTCTTTTCTGGGCTCTTCACTCTGAAAGCTTTTAGATGACCAAAAGATCATTTTGGTAGCTTAAAACAGAACAAATGAGCAATAAACTGGAAATAGACCCTATACAAGAGAGGAATGGGTATTTGGTCTGGGAAATAATTCTCTTAAAATCAGACAGGCACTTCAGGTGAGAAGGAAGCCAGCGCATCTGGCTGCAGCCTGATAAAATCTGTTGCAGTGGAGAGGGCACATAAAAAAGAAAAGATCCCTTTTGTCTGTTACTTTAATAAAATATTCTATTTGCATGCTTACTGAATTGAAACATTGTGCAGTATAAACTGTAATCACTGCCGAATACAAAATCAGGTAATTTTGTGGTCTTTTCCTCTTTTTAAAAATAGATAGGGTTTTATCCTGAAATTAGCTATATAAATCATGACTGAAGTTGTTATTGTTCTGCCTCAGCAGTAGCACTGATGCCCTCAACCCATATATTTTCTAGCAGTACCATTTCTCTGCTTTTTAAAAAAAAAAAAAAAAAGGTTGAAAATGCATGCAGTTTGCAGCTTGAATGTCCAAGTTGTGCAGTCTGGGTGAGATCAGACTGTCTGCTAACTCTGAGCTAAGCATAGCTATTGATAGTAGCGATGCTTTATTCCCAGCATGCTGTAATACTGTCAGCAGCTACCACTGACCTTTTATTTCCCATATATTATGCAGAAATCATGTCATCAAAACTTCAGATTCCTGAGTTCTTACACTAGATGCATCATCCTCTTGCATGCTGTATTTTTTTTCCCCTGTAGGACCCACAAATCTGGCAGGCTGGATTGGGGATGAGAGGGGTTCCCCAGGGCTGCAGAGATGTGGGACAAGAGACTACCTTGCTCTCCAGGAGCTTCACAAAATAAGTGGAAGCAGCGGACAAGTA